GGTTACGGGGGGCCCAAAATGACAGTTTAGGGGCCCTTTGGCACCCAACAATGGGAGGGCCCCCTTTAATCTGCCAACCCGAAAAAAGGGAAACCCCAAATAGCATTTGTAAAGGGGGCCCAAAAAGGGCACGGGCAGGGGTGTGGCAAATGGAGACAAGCACAATGGGAGGCCGAAAACAGGGACCCATGAACACTCTGGCCCGGCAGCAGCATGAGGAGGCGGTACGGGGGCCCTAAACAGATTAGGGGCCCTTTGGCCGCAGCAGGACGTAGTTGGTACGGGGGCCCATGGCAGATTTAATACGGCGGCCTAGCAGATGACAGAATCGAGGCTGCCTAATGTGCGATCAACCCATCATACATCCATTAGCGCTCCTCACCGCCTCAACCCCCTAACCCCACTCCGTCCCCCCGAAGTCAGGGATCAGGAACAGACCTGACTCTAGACCGGCTACCGAGCCACTCTCCCCCCCAACAGTACACTTCTTCGCCTGGCCCTGCTTGGGGCACTTTGAAGAGGCGGATGATCCATCACTCCCCGTTCTCCTGACCGCCCTCTGCTTTCATCTCTTACCTCATCTGTATCTAACAGTGGGGCTGAGCCCAACAGCATCAGACGATAACTACAATTAAGCATCAGCTTGGTGAGGGGAACACCAAAAGAGAAGGGCTGCAGTAGAGGACACGTATTTTCAGTGGGGCTTGCCCGGCCATCCAACAACGGTTGTGTCTGACGTACCCATCCGACCGATGGCTGTAGTGATCCGAGGTGAACCGTGAGGAAGTAGGAAGGAACGACCAAGCAACCAATCTCGATGACAGGCAGAGGGTTGTCGGGGGAGACCAGGGCCCCGGGGATGACCCCGGGAGAAAGGGCCCTTTTGGGGGCGTTAGTGCTGCCCGCCCCCCCTTGCGGGCCAGTTTTGCTCGTCCGGGAAACTTTGGGCCTCCTCTCCCATCCCTCTGCGTGTTTTTCCTGACATACTTTTAATTAAAACGTTTCTGGCCCCTGAGTAACAATTCTGTGTCCCTGAGTAACAATTCTGTGTCCCTAAAGTAACTTTTTTGTGTCCCTCGTAACAATTCTGTGCCCCTTTGGTTTTAACAATTCTGTGCCCCGGAGTAACTTTTCCCTGTGTCCCTCAGTAAAAATTCTGTGTCCCTCAGTAACAATTCTGTGCCCCCTTAAAGAAACAATTCTGTGCCCCGGGAGTAACAATTCTGGGGTCGCCCCGGAGTAAAAAATTCTGTGCCCCTTTTGAGTAAAAAATCTTTTTTGGTCCCTTTTTTTGAGAAACCAATTCTTTGCCCTATCCCGAGAAAAAAATTCTTGCCCCGGAGTAAAAAATTTCTTTTTTTGGCCCCCTTGAGAAAACAATTCGGGTTGTCCCTTTTGAGTAAAAAATTCTGTTTTTTTCCCAAAAAGTAAAAAATTCTGTTTGCCCTGGGGTTTAAACAATTCTTTTGTCCTAGAAAAACAAAACTTTTTTGGTCCCTTTTTTTGATTTAAAAAATTCTGTGCCCGGGATTTTAAAACAATTCGTGTTTTTTCTTTCCCTGAGAAAAACAATTTTTGTGCCCCTTTGATTTAAAAAACCAATTCTGTTTTTTTCCCTGAGTAAAACAATTCTGTGCCCCCGGGGAGTAAAAAAAAATTCTTTTGTTTTTTTTTTCCCTTTTTGAAGTAACAATTCTGTGTCCCTATTTAAAAATTTTTGTGTCCTGATAACAATTCTGTGTCTGCATTTTAGGAACAATTCTGTGTCCCCGAGTATAACAATTTGTTTTCCCCTGATAAAAATTTCCCTTTTTCCCTTTTAGTAAAACAATTCTGGGGTTCCCGGGAGAAAACAATTTGTGTCGGGCCCCGAGAAAACAATTCTGTGCCCCCTATGAAAAAAAATTTTTTCCTGTGTCTTTTTTCCTCAGAGTAAACCCAAATTCGGGTTTTTTCCCTGATAAAAATTTTCTGTTTTCCCTCAATTTTTAAACAATTCTGTGTCCCGGGAGTAAACAATTCTGTGTCCGGGGAGTAATTTTTCCCTGTTTTTCCCTGTGTAACAATTCTGTTTGGGCCCCTGAGAAACAATTCTTTTGTCCCCTATAAAACAATTCTGTGTCCAGAGTAAAAAATTTTTCCCTGTGTTTTTTTGTCCCTGAGTAAAAAATTTCCCTTTTTCCCCCAGTAACAATTCTGTGTCCCTTTGAGTAAAAATTTTTGTCCCCCCCTCAGTAAAATTTTCTTTTGTCCCTGATTAAAAAAATTCTGTGTCTGTCCCGAGTAACAATTCTTTTGGTCCCCCCATTAAAAATTTCTGTGCCCCTGAGTAAAAAATTTTGTGTCCCAGTAACAATTCTGTGTACCTGATAACAATTCTGTGTCCCTAGTAAAAAATTCGGGTGTCCCCTAAGAAACCCGGCCCAAAAGTGCCCCGGGGATTTAACTTTTCTGTGGGTTTCCCCTAAGTAACTTTTCTGGGGCCTGTCCGGGGAATTTTTAAACAATTCTTTTCCCCCTTTTAAATAACAATTTTGGTGGTTCCCCCCCAAAATTTTAAACCCCCAACAATTCGGGTTGTTTCTAAGGGGCCTTGAGTAAAAAATTTTTCCCCTTTTTTCCCCTTGATTTTAAAAATTTCCCCCTTTTGGGTTTTTTCCCTAAATTTAAAAAATTTTTGGTTTTTGGGGGAATGGGAATATTTCCCAAAAATTCAAAACAAAATTCCATTTCCCCAAATGTTCGTTTCGCTACCCCTTTTAAAAAGAAAATTAGCAGACCCCCTTTTAAAGAGACTGCTTTAATCTACTTTTTTCCCCTTTTTTAAAGAAGCCTGGTAGCCAGAAATCCGCTGAATGATAGGGGATCAAAAAAGTTTTTCCCTAAATGAACATGAAAATTTCAGTGCAAAATTTTTGTTGAAAATTTCCCTTTCTTTTGTTTTTTTTTGTTGCTTTTCCCTTTTTCAGTGTTACAATTCACCCACCCTTTTGATTTTTAGACTGATCATTTTTTTTGAAATAGGCAAAATTCAAAATTCAAAATTTTCAGGGAAAACATATACTTATTTTTCCCTTTACTGTATAAAATATATATATTAAAATATATATTTTATATATTGATTTTTGGCATTTCGATATCCCGCCCTTGGGAAAATTTAAGGGTTTTAACCCAGGGTTCTCAACTATACAAGGGGAGGGTTTCCCGGCAGTTCCCCTTAATGCAGGGGGAAACTGGTTTTGGGCCCTTTCCTTTTTTTTTGGTTTTTTAAAAACCCCCTTTTGGGGGCCCGTTTGGCCCGGGATTTCTAAGGGGTTTGGGGGAAAAGAAATCTCCCAAATTCCGGGGAACCCCTGTTTTGTGAAAAAATCCGCACACTGATTTAAAAACAGGTGGTTGCAGGCCCTTTTTTTAGAGGCCCAACCATGGGTTCGGGGTCCACCCCCGGGAGACAGGAGGGCATGTCCAGGGGGTCAGGAGAGAGGGTCCACCCAGGAGAGGTGGGAAACCAGAAACAGCAAGGGGGGTGCAACTTTTTGGGAAAAAATTTAGGAAAGGGGTTGCAGGAGACAGCTGTGAGCCTTAAAATGGAAGGCCAAAAAAGGTGGCAGAAATGGGGTACAAAACCCCGGGGGCCCGAAAAATTTGTTTAATTTGTTTTGATGGGGGGATACCCCTGCATGAGAAAATGTTAAAGGGAAAATTCCTTTTAAATGAAATTGGGGTTTAAAACCCCCTTAAAAAAAAAAAAGGGGAAACGAAATGGCTTGTGTTGCAAAACTCTACATTTGATGCAAGTTTTCACAATATATATATATATTTATATATTTAACGTACATACGCCTACTAGAGCCAATTAACCTACCAGCATGTCTTTAGAGTGTGGGAAACACATGCAGGCACAGGGAGAGCTTGCAAACTCCAGGCAGGTGGTGCCGTGGTGGATTCAAACCAATGACCCCAGTGCTGCCAGGTGGAAGTGCTAACCATTTAGCCACTGTGCTAACCCTATTGAACATCTATGGAGAGACCTGAAAATGGCTGTCCGCATCCAACCTGAGTGAGCTTAAGGCTTTGCAAAGAGATTGGCAGAAAATCCCCCAATCCAGGGTGTGCAAAGTTTGTCGCCTCATATCCAAAAAGACTTGAGGCTGTAATTGCTGCCAAAGGTATTTCAACAAAGTACTAAGTATGGTTTGAATTAAGTACATATGATTTCAGTTGTTTTAGTTTTAAATAAAATTCACAGACATTTCTAAAATTCTGTTTTCACTTTGTCATAGGGTGTTTGAGTGTGTTTAAATGAGAAAAAAAATAATTTAAACAGCTGTAGTGTCAGGCTGCAACATAACATTGAAATGTAATATATATATATATATACATATATACTATATTTCCAAAAGTATTGGGACACCTGCCTTTACATACACGCACATGAACTTTATGACTGGCATCCCAGTCTTAGTCCGTAGGGTTCAATATTGAGTTGGCCCACCCTTTGCAGCTCTAACAGCTTCAACTCTTCTAGGAAGGTTGTCCATAAGGTTTAGGAGTGTGTTTATGGGAATGTTTGACCATTCTTGAAGAGGTGGATTTGTGAGATCAGTCACTGATGTCGGACTAGAAGGCCTGGCTCGCAATCTCCGCTTTAATTCATCTCAAAGGTGTTCTATCAGGTTCAGCAGTGGTGCGCAGTCATGTTGGTACAGGAAGGGGCCATCCAAAACTGTTCCCACAAAGTTGAGAGCATGAAATTGTCTAAAATGTCTTGGTATTCTGATGCCTTAAGAGTTCCCTTCACTAGAAGTAAGGGGCCAAGCCCAACCCCTGAAAAACAACCCCACACCATAATCCCCCCTCCACCAAACTTACACTTGGCACAATGCAATCAGGCAAGTACTGTTCTCCTGGTAACCATCAAACCCAGACACGTCTATTGGATTGCCATAAGACAGAGAAAGCGTGTGGTTTGTCACTCCAGAAAACATGTCTCCACTGCTCCAGAGTCCCAGTGGCGGCATGCTTTACACCACTTCATCTGAGGCTTTGTATTGCACTTGGTGATGTAAGGCGTTGATGCAGTCAATCGGCCATGGAAGCCCATTCCATGAAGCTCTCTATGTTGTTGTGCAAATCTGAAGGCCACACGAAGTTTGGAGCTCTTTAGCTATTGACTCTGCAGACAGTTGGCGACTTCTGCACACGGTGTGCTTTAGCATGCGCTGACCCCGCTCTGTCATTTTACATGGCCTGCCAATTTGTGGCTGAGTTGCTATTGTTCCCAGTTGCTTCCACTTGTAGCAAGGACATTTCACGGATGGACTTATTGCACAGATGGCAACCTATCACAGTACCACACATGAATTCACTGAGCTCCTGAGAGTGACCCGTTCTTTCACAAATGTTTGTAGAAGCAGTCTGCATGACTAGGTGCTTGATTTTAAACACCTGTGGCCATGGAGCAATACCTGAATCCAATGATTTTGAGGGGTGTTTTGGCAATATAGTGTGTGTGTGTATATATATACAGTATATATATATATATATATATATATATATTTTTTTTTTTTTTTTTTTTTTAGATGGATGAAGTGGATAAAACCCCATTCTTTTTACTTTGCTGTCTATTTTCCACTGGGTACACTTTCCCTCACTTCCTTTTTCATTGATTAGTATATGCCAGGTAGCTGCAGCTCTCATATAGTTATGTGATAGTTCTTCCCTTCTGTTGTTTATCTACCCTTCTTTTCCCCTGGTCCATTCACAAAACACCTTGTAGTTTTCTAACCATTTACAGAAGTGCAGAGCTGGCTGAAGTGTCTGGTGTGTGTAATGCATGAATTATACAATAAACAGATTTGTATAAACAATAAACAGATTATACAAAACAGATTTGTACATTTAATACACCTGACAAGAGGTAACTTTTTCCCTTAGGAATTTATATAGTTGCCTGTGCTGGAGTTTTGCTTTAAATATTCATAACAGTTAGAGGCATATTGGAGATTTTCAATGGAATCTTTTTATCAAGACTATACAAGCTGTTAAAGCATAGGAGAGTGAATGAGAACAATTAAATAAAACCATGCAAACAGCTGGAAGGTATATACACTCTCTTGGAATTGAACTCAAGTTCAATGAAGGAAGAGCATAGTGAGCATATACTGCATGTATACAGTATATACTGTATTTGTGTGGAGTGTATTTAAAAAGTCTTGTATGCTGCAGTTTTGGGTGCATTTGTCTGCAGTTTTCATTCCAGGTCAATTTAATGGAGTTAAAAAAAAGGAAAAATATTAGTGGAGCATAACAATGTACCTATGATATACAATAGTGCTATATCACAGTATACTAGTATAGTGAGACTATATAAAATTATATAACTCCCTCTTTTAAGTACTCTTCCAATCACCAAACAACAATAGAAAAACCTTTTCTTCTTGGGTTATGACCCAACGTGCTTAACACTCTGTGCACACAGGACTGGTATAAAATGGTGTAAAAACACTCACATAAAAAAGCTTAAAGTGATCTATGCTATGTTTTTATGTGAGTGTTTTTATACCATAGAGCATAAAGTGCTCTATGCTATGTTTTTATGTGTTTTTTTTTTTTACCATTTTCTGGTATGATATTTTTATTGTTACAGCAAAAAGATCATACAAAAAGTACAGGGAAACATAACAAAGAACTGGTTAAGAGGCATGAGTGAAATTATGCACAACAATCATTTTAATAGTATAAATTGATGGTGAGCGACCGCACGGAGGAGGCCATCGGTCTGCATGTGTTACCTGAGCCTGAAGGCCCAGCTGTATACCAGGAAAATAAAAGGAGGGTGGTGGGCTAGCTCGTCGGTCCCAAGGAGGGGAAAAAAGAAAAAGCAAAAAAAGGTGGAATAAAGAAAGGGGGGGGGGGAGGAGGGGGGGGGGTGTGGAAGGGAAATAAGAGGGGGAAGGGAGGAGGTGGGGGGTGGTGTGGAAGGGAAATAGGAGGGGGAAGGGAGCAGGAGAAGGAAGAGGGGGGTGTTCCCGAAGGGAACGGATACTGGGGAATGGGGGGGGGGGAGGAAGCTTTCTGCAGGCTTGGGTGGTGGCATCAGCAGACTGAGGTTGCCCAGGCTGGTCGGATGCAGAGTGGGAAGATCGTACAACCACCAAGGGGCCCACACTTTCAGGAATTTAGCATGGGAATCATGCAAAATACTAGGCATCTTTTCATTTATCAGAGCGGTCAAATTGCTCATTCACCACAGCAAACAAGACAGAGGGTGTCTTCCAGACTCTGGCTTAGCATGTTTAGCAGCAATAAACAGGTGGCAAGCTTCTGCTGGTATAAGGATAAACCTGTAATCGAGCAATGCCATACTGCCAATTTAGCATCGTTTCAAATGGGTACATGAAATAACGTGTGTAAAAGTCCAATGACCCGGGACCAGAACCTTGTCAAACATTGGCAGGACCACCAGATGTGAACCACATGCCTGCGTTGGCCGCAGCCTCTGGAACACCTGTCACTGCAAGATGGGTTCATACCTACAATGTGAGCTGGGACCCAATACCACCTCAGAAGAACCTTATAGGCTGCCTCCAAAGTAGTCGTGTTGAAGGAACATTTCTCTATGGATGACCAGGCCTTGCTCCAATCCTCAGGATCAATAAAGGTTCCTAATTCTCGTTCCCAACTTAACTTGCAAGAAGTAGAAGAAGGAGGGTCAATAGCGTGCAGGGAAGAGTAAATCAGGGAGAGGGGTGCCCGGAGCACCAGGGAACTGTCAGCAGATGTGCTCTAAGGCTGTGGATTGGAAAAGGAAGGTGGAATTGCATCTAAGGGAGGTCACCAATGGCGAAGCTGTATATAGCGAAAGAACTCCTCAGGTGAGGCTTCATGGGTCTCCTGAATGGAAGACCATAAGGGGAAGGTGCAGGAGGTGAGAAAATTTTGGACTTGTGTAAAACCTTTGGATGACACCATGAAAACGCTCTCAGCTGTTCTAAGCCTGGAGGAAAAAGAGGATTGTTAAAGAGAGGAAGGAGGGGTAGAAAAGGGGACATAAAATTTCATAAGTAATTAACTAAGTCCCAGATTGGCGGGCTGTGGAGCATAAGGGGGCTGAGTGGCAAAGGACGAGCCTGTGGGGAGCCAGAAAAAAGCTGTCATGGGGACTGAGGCACAATTGGGGAGCTCCAAGAGTACCCAGAAGGAGATATCTGTGGTAGCATGAAGCAGGATGAGATGGGAAATTTGTGCTGCCGTGTACTAATTTGAAATATTGGGGACTCCTAGTCCTTGTCTATGAGTATATAAAGTACATTGTGAGACTCTAGGGCGCTTATATGCCCAAATAAAAGAGAGGATTCTTCTGTGCATAAGGCGTACTGTAGCTAAAAGGAGGGTACATGGACCAGTAGAGTTATAAAATAGTATAAAAAAACTTTAGGAAGTATGGTCATTTTGACTGCATGAATGCGAAGGATCCATGATTAGGAAGGAAACTGCCAAGATTGCATGAGAGAGGTGACGGAAGTGGGTAGTAATTAGTTGCAAAGAAGGTAGAATAGGAAGGAGGTCAGTTTGACCCTAAGTAGTCTAAAGAAGAAGTGGCACAATGGTAAGGGAAGTGTGTCTGGAGGTGTGTTACCATAGAGGGAGACAGAGAAATATTGAGCACTGTCACTTTCTGAGGATTGATGTGAAGCCCCGACAGTTCAGAAAAGTATGAAAGAAGGTGTTGAAAATTAGGAAGTGTAGTTATAGGGTTAGTTAAAGTCAGGAACGTGGCATCCGCAAATAAATTCACCTTGTAATGTATGTACCTGCATAGTGGATGTGACGATCGTGGCGTCAGACCCCAGCCCTTCTCATCAAACTCGTGACCGAAGGACTAGCCAATCTAAAACCGAGCTGTCACGTGCGTAACAATGCCATGCCCAGCTGCACCCTGCACAAAGATTTTCCAGCTAATGGACCACAATCGGTGTATCTGCAGCCTGGGAGCGATTGTTACTGGGTCAGGTTAATTATGCAATTAACAATTAACAATTTTTCTAAAAACTACAATACAATATATTTGTATAAACAACTAGGTTTGTTCCCTTTACAGGTGTACTAACATCCCATAGACACAATTAGGCCAATTTTAGCCAGTTTTTGGCCTACATTGCCTGGAACTCTTTGTTAATTAATACTTATTCCTATCACTTTTTTGTTTTTTTTCCTTTGCTCAGATCATTTGACGCTTTGACTCCTTAGACACCTGTTCTGATTGTATTTCTCTTATTACCTGCATTTCAAATTTTCGAACAGTTGAACCTTTTACTCTCCTTTACTTTTCTCTATCTTTACAAAATTTTTTAAATATTTAAACTGTTTGCTCACCATTTTCTATTTCTGTTCTTGCCCTCCCTCTCTTGACCTCTCTTCTTTTTTCTGGTTCTCTGGGCTTTGCTGAGTTGATTGTTTGGCTTGGCTCCATACTGGAGGAATTCTGGCTCTGTTCCCCTTAGTTTATTACTCCTCGGGGAGCTCTGAAACGGCCTGCTGCACCAGAAACGTTATTAGAAACAGATGTCCCTCCGTCTGTCCCTTGGGGCTCTGTCTTTCTTGAAGGACTGGTGCCACTAAGATCCCTGCCATGGAAAAAAAAGGAGGGAGTAGAGGAGAGGAGAGGCAAACTTGGAAGGGGGAGATGGGTTACTAAATCCTGAAGCTATAAGAAATAATAAAGTATTCTAAAGGAGAATTGTATGCTTTAAGGTATGTAATGTAAGCTTTTAAAAAGAAAGCCATGTAATATAAGAGCACAAATAAAGACAAAGCAAGCTATGTTCATTTATCTTGGACTTTATCAGGTATATTTCATCATAGGCACGTCAGCATAAAATGGTCCACTCTTCCTCAGTTAACAGTTTGTCCAGTGCTGTCATGCTCTGTTTAACCTTCATACTGAGAAGCTGTTCAAAATCATTTCCATGGCCTTGGGATTACAGGGACCCAGTCAGAAAAAGAGGCTTGAAGCCAGCTATAACAGATCATTCCAAGTTGTTTCTATTTTGATGAAAAGCTTAACTAGTCTAGTTTAATGCCTACTTGTAAATATTAATTAAATGGTTAACAGTCTGCATGGATTTAATCCATTTCATTTGATATGCCTAAGTAAATTTTAATGTAATCAGAGTTACATTTTCCAAACCTGTAATAGTAATTTAAAAGATGTAGTAAGATTTACTTTTAACTCCCAGTATGATAGCCTATAAGCACAAAGTCTCAAATTAATATTGCAGAATGTTGTAGAATG